CAGATCTTATTTCTAAAGCTGAGAGCGAACAGCCAGACTCCATTCTGATTATACGTGGTGACAAAGGACAGCATGTGACATGTGCCACGAGGGAAGGAAATATTAAGGATCACTGTTACATCATAATGAAAGATGCTCATCGCACTGAGGTATGTTATTATTATTATTAGGCATTCTGATCATAGACTTGTCTTTTTCTATCTGAAAGCCATAACTAATCCTCTGCTTGATCCCATGCAGTTCGCATATAGGGCCAAAAGGTTGGCTTGCCATGTTGTTAACCTGGCCCTACATTCTTTACTAGAGCATCTTGAGACCTTTGGGATCTGCAGAGTACTGTTTGAGAACATAAGCTCAGCTTTTAATACCATCAATCCTGACCTGCTGCAGGTTAAACTCTCCCAGCTGTCTGTGCTGTTTTCTACCTGTTGTCGGATCACAGATTTCCTTAAAAACAGAAGACAGTAGGTTCAGCTGGGGAAACGCATCTGACAGCCTTACCCTCATCACTGTTGCTCCCCAAGACTATACATTGTCACCCCTTCGCTTCAGACAGCTACCAATGATGGCACCTATAATGACCCTTCAGTGAAAACCCTGAAGTTTGCTGATAACACCACTGTGGTCAGATTCATGACTAACGGTGATGACTTTGGATACAGAGACCATACAGTTAGTGTCACCAAAGCACCATGCAGAGCATCCTGACTGAGAGCATCACCACCTGGTTTGGTAGCTGCACCAAGCAGGACAGCACAGACCAGCACAGAGTGGCGTGTTCAGCTGCACGCACTATCGGGTGTAATCTCCCAAACCTGCAGGCCTCGCACAGGCAGCGCTGCCACGACAAAGCATTAAAAATAACAAATGACTCTGCCCACCTCAACACTGGCCTCATCTCACTGCTGCTGGGTGTTGAACGCCAGATGAGTTTAATTGCACCTTGACACTTCATGGTTTCTGTAGCCAGATTCATCACTGTTAGTTATGAATCCGACCACAGGGGTGTCAGCAGCAAACTTCAGTTCATAAACCATAAATTTTGTGGCCACCTCCTATCACCCACCTACAATGCAGTTCTTTCAACTTTGCCCAGATGGTTCCACAGTCATTCACGCTCGGTCTCAGGTGGTATCAGTTAAACATCACGACAAGGCTGTTGATGGTCCGAAACAAAATCCTTCATTATAATGCAACTAAGAGCAGCGTAGATAACATGGATCATTTAGCCTGCATCTACTCTTGTAAATGAAAGATCAACAGGTGACCAGCTAAAGTGAAGAGGACACAGGGACGTTGTCACCTGTGCCCACGCGAGTTTGACAGGAAGACACGCAAATTCTGCGATAAGTGCTCTAGGCCTGCTTGTCCAGCACACTCTGTCAATAGATCAAATGTACTGTGTGACAAATGCATATAACTGTATGATTTAGACATGTCATTTGCAGAAATCTTGAACAATGTTTGCATCTGAAAGGTGTGATAATGGATGTTTTCCGATTTCATTACGACATTGGAATTAAAATGGCGTTTACATCGCGGCAGTGAAAGGGTCGGCTAGACGGAATGTGCATTATATGACCAGTCCCCTCCGCTGCCCCCCCCACTGCCGCAACCCCTTTAACTGCACTATCTTACTGCATAAGCTGTGCATGCACCATGCAGTTAACTAATAAACGTATCTTAACTTTAGTTCATTGAATTTGAGCTTCGTACTGTACCATTGAATTATATATGCCAACGAATAGGGGTATAATCTGAACCCCAAGGACCTGGAACGTAACTTTCTAACAAGGACCCATTGAGGGTTAATTATTATTATGAAACTTCTAAAGGTCTCTTTTTCCCAAATGGCCAGTCGCCTAAAGGATCTGCTGAGGACTTTACATTTGATATGTATGACTTCAAGAAACAGGCAATATCTTGCACTGCTACACTTCTGGAACTTTATGAACAATCAAAATTAAAGATGTTAAGACTTTACCTTAATCTGTTTAACATTTGAACATGTGGACTTTTAAAAAAATTTTTTT